TTCGGGTATTTTCCCACGTCATTGTAGTTGTGCTTTTAAAGTTGTAGTGACGTTTCGACAGAATCTCATCTGCCACCATCAGGCTTCTGTAGAATTCAATATTCTGTAGAAGCCTGATGATGGCAGATGAGATTCTGCCGAAATGTCGCTACAACTTTAAAAGCACAACTACAATGACGTGGGAAAATACCCGAACAAAGCTGAATGCCATACATGTAAGTACCCGCGAAAACTTAAGAAAATTATATCTATCTATCTATCTATCTATCTATCTATCTATCTTTGGTTATTCGGGTTTTCTCCCGCGTAAGATTAGAAGTATCTAGGCAACGTTTCGATGAAGTCTCATTCATCATCTTCAGGCTTCTGTCTTCGGCTCTGTGCTTCTCAGAGTGAAAACCCAAATAACCAAAGATCTACATACTAATACCCGTGAGAACCTCAGAAAATATAAATATATATATTTGTTTTTTTAAAAATATTTTTCTCCCTCTGTATTATAACTGTTCTATTGTATTTGAGTTTTATTGTATATTGTGGTCATGATATTTGACTAGCTCATTTAATTACTATTAATGAACAGTAACAATGACATTACATCAACCATCTTAGGCTCACAGAGGAAAAATGAGACAGAAATTTTCAAGTAAAAGATTTAGTGGCTTGCTGTTTTAAATAAAGGACATGAAAAGTTCAGTCAGTAATGTTTTTATTATTATTTTATCATGAAGAAATTGTCTAGACAGTGTCAAGTAAAATTGCCCTTTAATTTTTGTGAGCTATCTGCTGTAGCATTTGCTATTTATGTCCCAAAGGTGCTTTTTCAAAAGGCAACTGGACTTTCTTTGTTTTTCCTTGAAGACATTTTGCTTCTCATCCAAGAAGCTTCTTCAGTTCTGAAGCTTCTTGGTTGAGAAGTGAAATGTCTTCCAGGAAAAACAAAGTCCAGTTGCCTTTTGAAAAAGGACCTTTGGGACAACCATGACCTGAACAACCAAGAATCTCCATAGACATTTGTTATTCAGGTTAGAGATGGTATTCTTAGATATGAGAAACAGCTGAGTAACAAATATTAAATGGAATCCTGAAGTTTATTTGACAGTTGACATGTAATTCAAAACACTTAGGTTGGATTCACATTGTGCTAAGCCATGGTGTATATCTATTTTATTTTGGTTTAGCATCTTGGTGAACCTAACTCCTGTCATGTATAAATGATAGCTTATAATTTAGCATGTTGAATATTGCTATTCAACTTGCTAAATGACGGCTTATTTTGTAAACTATGATAAAACAAAGCTTTCATTAGTTTTAGTCCTAAATAGTTGTGACTTTATCATATTGAAAATATATTTCTACATACTGTCTATTATTGGCATATAGAAAAATGTATAGTATAACTGATATTTTGACAAACTCATTTTGATTTGAAATGTAGCAATATTTTTGAGCCTGAATTATACAAGAAATAGGAATGTTTAGTTTTTTACAAAAGAAAGTAGACAATCTAGATAAAATACCTCTCACTGGCCATTGTAAAAAAATAGTCATATATTTTAAGCAGGAGATAGCTATGTCTGAGGTTGATAGCTTCTGTCAGGATATAGTATTGGAAATAAGTTCCATTTAATCCAATGGGTCTTTCAGCTACAAGGCTGTGAACAGATGGACTTACTCAGTCCTGTTATTTGGAATAATATTAACCTTGTACATTTAAAAATCCCAGTTTCTCGAGTTATAAATACTTATGGACCTCAGACTAGAAATGAAGATGCCCAGGTTTCCAACCATAATGCCAACACTCATTCTCATGATTGTGGAAATCAAGCAGTAGAAGAGAGGCTACAGAACATCGAAGCACATTTAAGGTTACAAACAGGTGAGTAGAATGAGTTTATAGCTGAATTCTAAACTGTAATGTCTTTCAGCAACAGCCAGCAAAAGTGAAATTTCATCCTGTGTCTCTTACTTTTGTGCCATAGAATTTTTACTGAGACAAAGGTTGAAATGGATTAGAGTGGTAAAATCTGGATAGTAAATGTATTGATGTACAGCATCGTATGATACATTTCTTCTCTATTTTGAACCATTTTTTCCCACCACGAGTTTCAGGAATTATTTAGAGTTTTCATAGTAAACATATCATCCAATCCTTCACATTGCTTTCTGCTGGTGGTCTGATAGTGGTAAATAGGTCAGTGGCTATTGAACTAAATGACCTTTAAATTATTAAATATAAGAACTATCGTCTTGTTTTTTCTCCCCTATTTTAGACTATTTTCGGCTAGTTATTTGGAATAATTATTCACTGTATGGAAACAAAGATTTGTGAACCCTTGGGTTTTTTCCCCCCTTGTTTGACCTCCCATTATATTTTTCACTACTTTGCCAAGGGACAGCCTGGTCTAGTTATAATGCATGCAAATGTTGTTGTTTTTTGGCTGAATGGATAACATTGTTATTAAGCTGTTTTAATGAAATATGAACATATTTAATTCATAAACTTATTACATAACTCTACATTGGATCTTGGTGATAATCTATAAAATTTAATTGATGCCTTTTGGCAAATTATGACTATCAATACAGCATTTGTATAAAATATTAAGGTACTATTGATATGCAAATACACAGTATAGCAATAAATTTGTCATAAAGATCATAATCAAAATAAAATAAAACTCCTGCATTTAGAGTCATTGTGCAAGAACCCCCAGTGATCTAGCCACTTTAATATTCCTGCTTTGTTGAACAGAAAGTGGAAAATAACATGAAGAAATTTGATCTTTTTAATTTTTCAGATTGGGTTCACAGCTATATTTGGAACCTCTAACCCATGTACATAAAGAATTGACAAGCAAGCTTTATGATGTCCCAGCAATTTATTGCATTAGAATATAGTTTTGGGCCATGTCTTTCTCCTTTATTTACTCTTTTATCCTCACATCTTGGCTGAAATGTTAATCTGCCTCTGAAACCTTCCTATTTATTTTTAAAATTGTCCTAGTCATGATATATTTTTGATGCTTTTCCTTTTTAACACTTCACTGTAGGTGGACCGGTGCCCAAAGATATTTATCAGAGGATAAAAAAGCTTGAAGATAAAATTCTTGAATTGGAAGGGATGTCTCCTGAATATTTTCAGTCTGTGGTAAGTAGTGTTATTAAGTCTTTGGTACCATATTCTAAATGTCTTGAATGGGAATGTCTAAATGTCTTGAATGTGTATATTTGGACCCAGAGTCTTCGAAACAGCCTTGTTCAGTTCATCTGAAGTGATAGCTCTGCATGGTGATTTCCATCAAGGTCAATTGAGCTATTAACAGACACAGGAATTCTGTGTACACACTGGGAAATTCATGGGGTGTTGTTTCAATAAGATTGATTAGCTTTTTTAAAGTGTCCAGAGTGTTTTCCACTTATATAACTGTGAAGATTTTGTCCTAAGAGCTGATCTATTAAACAGCTACACGTACCACACATGTACCACACAGTTCCTATTTGGGTCCTCTTTCTAGTTAAAAACCAACACTCCAGTTCAGTGAAAGGGAGATAACAGTTAAAAAATTAAGACATTATAAATAAAAATCTTTTTTCTCTAATTTGCTTTTCTTTTTACAGAGAAGTAGGGAAGGGGGGAGAGAAAGACAGAGAGAGAGAGAAGACTGAGCAACGTGCATTGAATCCTTTCAGAAAGATTAAAATAGCAAAGATAATTTGTATAATAGAGCACTTTGTTCCTTATCTGATGGGAGATGAACATGCACTCCAGAAAAACTTAGAGAGGTTACATGAGAAAAAAATTAGCTGCTCAGTAATTCCCATTCATAAAAATGTAGGTCTTCTAGAGGAAGAGAATAGTTACTTTTTATTAAAACTATAGTACCATTGCTAATGACATATTGCATATTTGAATTTTTAACAGAATTTGTCTATGAAAAAAAGAAAAATTCAACAAAATCAAGTGAGTCTATTTATTACATTAATATGTGCTTACAGTTACAAATTTAGAGAGGCTTTCCTAATTCATGAAATGGGGAGGGGTGTATGTTTAATTTACTTAGAATCTTCTTCCTGTCTGTCACCCAAAGGGTTACATGCATATTCTAGTTCATCTTCCTACAATATTAATGTCAGAGTAAAATTTGCTTGACAGGCTTAGCAATTCTAAGCTTTGCGCAGCAATGTAGCCAGAGTGAAAAACTTTCTTGTCAGGGATGTTTAAATTTGGTTCTTAGATTGCTGATTTAATTAAACAGCAGTTGTACCACAATTTTCAAGGTGTGAATAGTGCTGATAGGGACAGTTCTCATGCCAACTCACTTACGTAGCCAACTCACATAAAAAGCATCAGTTAGCAATTGCCTGTTTGTGTGAAAAACTTACCAGAAGGATTTGGTGCTTCAGGTTCAGTGAAGCTGAAAAGGTGCTTTAGATCATGCAGCATTACAAGAAAGGTGAAACTGCCCATATATCCTGAAGATTTTTTTCCCCATGTTATTTCTGAAGCATTAATTAGCAGTTTCATGGATTCCACACAAATCTGAATCTGACTGAAGCAGTTTTTATTGAAATAATAATCTTCAATATTTTTCTAAGATTGGCTTTCTATGTATAAGGTCAGCATTTTGTTTAACTGTTCTTAAATAATTTGAAAAAAATCAATGGACAAAGTCTTTTTTTCTGAGTGTTCTAATACTAAACATTTTAAATTGTCATAGAGATTTTCCTGCTATAGACATTAGTGTTTAAGTCAGGAATTAACTTTGTGTTCATAAGAGCTACACAATATTTCGAAAACAATTTGGAAAATTGTTGAAACACGAGGAAGCATGGATGTAGTACCTGCATCTTTTAAAATGGCTTCCCTGCCTCAGGATTTGTAGCTGCTTTCTTTAACTGCCATGTAATACTGACAAAAACGTGGCTGCTTTAAAAAGTTGCAGGTAGGTGCTACATTTCTATTCAGATGCACCTTTTTGTAATTGAATCCAAAGTTTTGACAGATTTGATATCCATGTGACTCTCACACATATATCTAATGTTAGCTTTAGTGCTATTGTTACTTTGAATTTCAGCTCACTTTTTAAAAATTAGATTAAATGTTAGCCGAAGATCACTATATAAAATCAGGGTTCATATCATGGTTTGAAATCTAAGTTTAAATTACTGTTGCCACCAAGTAATCTTGGATTCCAGACCATGATATTCTTTAAATTAAGGAAGCTTTGAAACTGGTGTGGAAGATTGTAAATATGTTGTTGTTCATCCTTTCTCCAGAATATTAACTCTATGCTTGCTCTCAAATTATTTCTTAATTTAAATGTTTTTGCTACTAATTCATGATACTGAGCTCCTATCTTTTTCTTAACGGCAGAACTATACTCTGACTGAACTTGATGAGAAGATCAATGCACTCAAACAAACATTGCTGAGAAAAACAACTGAAGGGAGGCCCAAAGTGGTAAATCAGTTTCTTTGATTTTGGCAATGAGACTCCATTATACTTTCATGCATATTTAACCTTTTTAAACTGAGTATTCTTTATCTAGTTTTTATGGTGGAAACTAAATATGCACATGAATTTATCTAATTCTTATTGGAAACTTGGATTAAGTAAACTATTATTCATCTAGACTGAAAAAAAAATGAAGAATGTTTTGGAAGTAGAATTATAAATATCTCTTTTCCATTAATGGGAAGGTGGATCTGTGGAATTTTTAGTAGAAAAAATATATATTGTTTTTATGATTCATGTGCTATGCTGATGGAACAAACAAATTTCTATTGAAATATAATTCTGGCAAGGAATGTTACTGAAAATATGACTGTGTAGTTCACATGGTACCTTTAAAGAGGTAAAGATTCTCCTGGTGGAGAGGAAGAGACCATCTGTAAGAAATTTCTTCATTTCTTCATTCACTAATAGCCTATTTTGTATGAAATTCATTCATCTTGTTAAGAGAAGCAGTACTCACCAAGGCATACTCATCCTTGTCCAATCAAACGATGGCAATAGTCATCCCAGCCAATGATTGCTCACACTGACTGGTGTTTTGAAATCTTAAGACGAGTGTTCTTAGTTTGTTCTGAGTAGGGTTTCTACAGGTAATATTTCTAGTGGGGGAGGAGGGGGGGAGAGAGGCAGCATTGAAAGAAAGAAAAAGGGCAGTTACATTCTGAGGTCTTCATAAAGAGCCAGAGTATACATGTTGACATTACCTACTTCATCCCTTACCTTCCTGCCAGTAGAATTTGTGTTCAATCTCTGGCCTATTTTCATATCACATTTCTCAATAGATAATGGAACAATATTCCTTTCCTCCTATCCAAAATGCTTTGATTGGTATAATACCAAACTTAGAGTAAGTAAATAAAAAACGTTGAGTGCTCTTATTAAAAAAAATCATTTATCCCAAAGCACCGGAGTAAATATTTTTTCCCTGTCTTTTCTGAAGGTGGACCTGATTGAGGGAAATGAGTTTGATCCCAAAACATCTTTGAAGGACTAATGTTGCAGTTACCACCTTCAAACGTCTATGAAAACTACCGTACTTTCATTAGGATCTGCCATGTAAAATGTGTTCTTTTCTTCAACAATTGATTTACAGTGAGGGGCACCGACACATCTTGCCATCTCCAAAATGTGCCTTTTATTCTTGCAGATTTCAGTGAAATGAAGCAGGCCATATATCAGTGGCCTGTAACTAATACGTTCAGGTATGTCACAATTTGTAAGTGTAAAAAATGGTTGTAAGTCACTTTTCAGTGCCATTGTAACTTTGAATGGTAACTAAATGAACTGTTGTAAGTTGAGGACTAGCTGTATATGGTTGTAGTTGAAGAGAATTTTAAAATTCCAATTAATTTGAAATACAAGCAAATGGTTTAAATAAGCCTGGGTTTTAGGATAATGTTAAATCTCTGTTTATCAAGCATACTGATGCATGTTATCAGTTAGGATCAAATTATCAAAAGGAATACTGAATTCTGCTTATCTGGCCAGTAAACTAAAATCTGTAAAACAGCTGCTACTTTGAGTACTATAACCTTTGGAGGAACAGTCGATTTTTGTAAAGGAGCTAATTTACACATAGGGCTACCCCAGTCATGGAATGTTGTCCCAAAGGAGCTATGAAAGTTTCCATTGGCTTGTATTCTCTCTCAATTAAATAATGCTACTGTTTCTTTGGAAGTTTTGATATTGTCTAATGCAGTTCAGTGTAACCGAAATACATTATAAAGCACTAAATAAAAATATTGAAGAACAAAACTGAAGAGAGAAAAAAAGAGAAAGCAAAATATTACACAGATGTGACAGGTTTTAATAGAATTCAGAGAAAGCACACAGTGATAGTGATTAATCATAGTTGACTCTGAGCCAATCAGCTAATGTATTTCAAATTTTAAGTGCTAATTTGGACAATAAATTTGGAAGAAAGAAGAAAGTGAAATGTGCAGTCTGCGAGGGGATCGGAGTGAAAGATGTCTCAACTCATCAGATTTTTTTTAATGTCTTTTGCTTGATCTTCTAGGTGGTCATGAGTGACTAACATATTCTGTGGCTCCCTTAATATATAGAAAATATGTCGAATTTTGTATTTGGATCAAAAACTCCCATATCATCCATGCTCTATTACTGAAGATGATGGATATATATGAAAATTACATTTCTCAAAACGTAATTGAATTCTCAGTAGTAGATCCACCTATATACATTGCCATTAAAGCTTTTGTCTAATAGCAAGAGATCCTACAAAGAGCCATCTAAAAGGTTTAGCATTACTCTTTTTATTCTTCAGTGTAAATTCAAGCAATTGTAACATATATTGAGCAATAATTTTTTAACACAAAGGGATTCTGCCTAGCATGATTTAAGAAATACACCTCCTCCGCACTTCATATTTCAAACCAGTTTTGTCTATGTCATAATCTCACGGGCCTGTGAATTAGATCCTGTGAATTATAACTGGAGTGTATTAGAATGTTCTTCATTTTACACACAATAGTAGCACCCTTTATTTGAATCTATACAAGTGATTCAATGCTTGTAAAATCAGTATCCAAGGGAAGAGGATAATTATTCTTGCCCTCTTCAAGTGTGTGTGCTTTGATGCCTGAGAATGGAAGGGGTGATTCTCATCTATATTAACAGAATAGGAAGAACACTAGAATTTCACAGCCTGAACTACAGGATAGAACATTTTACAAAGGAGTAAAGTCTGCTTTCTTCCATGTATTTCAGTTATCTGTGTGTACAGCTTCAAAGAGCCACTAGTACTGGTTTGGTTATTATGATGTCTATTTTTATAATGTCTTTCATTCCGAATAGAATAACTGTCAATAACCCTATATAAATCTGTCTGGTTTGTATTCTTGTTCTTTGTTTATTTTGTAAATTGCCCACAATAATGGTAGATCAGGATTTCATATGCAAATAAATAAATGACCACATTGTCTCATTTTGTAAAAGCCATTTGAAATTGTAACAATTTGTGCTGTTTAAAAATAGTATTTTTTAAAATCCTATTTGAATACTGAAGTATTCCCAATGGGTAATCTAACATATTGATTGGTCTTAGTGTTGTTGTCTAATTCTGGAATATCTGCTTTGCAGTCAGTCCTTCAGGGAAAGGAGTGGTTCATCTCTAGGAGACTAATTTTCTATAGCTGAGTGCAGGATTTTAATAAATAAACCCAAAAGTGAAGTGCCTATTTGAACAGCCCTCATATCAGCAGGAAATATGAGTGGCTTGGGAAATTTGAACCATTCAGTATTCTGTCTAACATTGTTAAGAACAGTAATAGATTTTTTTTTCCTCAATAAACATAAGTGATCTCTTTGTTTGATTTTAATTAAGGAACTGTACTACCACTGAGTAGTTTTCACTCCTAAATGCTAAGCAAATAATTTAGAATAAAAACCTAAGAGGTAAGCAGATTTTTAAATGAATAAATAAAATTATGCTTGTCAAAGAGAGAACACACAGACACAAAGCTCCCACTGAACCAACCCTACCATTAGTCAGAGGGAGCCAATTCTTAAGTAGCACATGCAGCACGAAGGGGTCATATAATAAAAAGCTTTTTATTGGGTAGAATTAGGGTTGCTAGATGTGGGCTGCAAAAATCTAGACAACCAGTAGATGGCAGCAAACATTTCTGCTCCCATCTAGAGATCATGTGGAATATTAGAGTCCAGGTGTAGTTAGGCCTAAAGAATGGTGAGTGTGACTGAGCCTGACCTAAACAATTCTAAGTATATGCATCTTCAAGTATGGGACAAGTTGATTTTTCTCTTTTGTTGATTTTAATTAAAATGACGTTTCTGAATAAGGGAGATTTCAAATTGTTATACATCATCACTATGGGTATAAACATGTCAGTTTTGAGGGAAGATGCAGTCAACACATTTCTAAAAAATGATGTGTTCATATAGCAGATGATAATATAAAACAAAAGAAACAAGAGTTTGTTATTTTTAGTGCTGTATAGAAAGTTGGGAGGTTTGTTATTTTTAGTGCTGTATAGAAAGTTGGGAGGGATATGGTGGCCTAGTGGCAAAGATACTCGCCTCTCACTCAGAAGCTTGAGAGTTCAATCCTAGGTAGCAGTAGATGTTTTTCTCCTAGGGTGGAAAGAAAAAAAAAATCATCTGAATTCTGCATGGTGTCAGGAAGGGCATCCAGCTAGTAAATGCTCAGCTCCATCCAATCATCCCAACTTTACCCCGAATTAGGGGATTAAAGGGTTGTAAAAAAAGGGGGGAAGTTTAAAAGTTGGTGGGGGAGGGAGTTTCTCATAATTTCTCAGCCAAATGTATACATATACAGAGTTTACACACATATAGTATATCACATTAAGTGCATAATAGGTGAAGATCTTAGAAAATCTCCTTTGGTGGTAGGATGAACAGTAAGTGAAAAAGAAACTATTGATTTGCATACGTATCTGGGCAGGTGCTGAGAATGGTGACATGACAAACATCTAGGAGGATCATTCAGCTGTGGGTTTTGAGCTTCTGAGGGATGTCTACAAGGTATGGTCAAAAGATCAAGAAAGTATCTGTAACAGTGCTATGGAAACATCTGTTCTTTACGCATATCATGTCTGTAGCACACATAAGCAGGTGGGTTTTAATTGCACTATTTTGGTTGCCATCTAGATTTGTTTTTCATTTTGGTTATATCTCGTAGACCATGGGTGTCAAACTTATCGCGTCACATTGCCATCATGTGATGTTTTGTGATATTTTCACCATTTGTGGAGCCGGGGTGGGCGTGGCCTGCATGTGATGCATCCAGCCCGCCACCAGTTTGATAACCCTGGTGTAGACAATTCTGGCAGCCTTCAAACCTTGGCTTGGAGATCTTATTCTTCACTTCAGTAGCAAAACCTTTAGCCAGACCTGGGTGTCCATTACTATACAGACCTACAAATTGCAAACTTCATAGTTCTGAGTTTTTAGAATATTTTTAATATTTACAAGTTGATTCTTGAATTCTTCAAAGCCACAAAAACAGTGCTATGCATTGTCATATGATTTGCGGAAATTATATGATTTATAATACTAATATATAACACTATTGTACTTATAATTAATTACTTAGGGCTGAACAAGGCTCAAAGACGGGCTTTGCTTCAACCAAAGCTTTGATCGAAATGCCATTTGCAATTGTTTCATAAAATGGCATCCGATACTTAGAGAAACGACATAGGCATGATAGGTATGAACTTGCTCTAAAGAGAATCCCATCTTAACACTTGACTGCAGGCATTGAGGCAGAATACAGTGGGTTCACAAGCTCAGCCGCTGCCTTGCGCTGAATCTCTCCTTAGTCTAAGTGGAAATAGAGAAATACCATGTTATACAAGGATGATCTGCTTAAACACATTACAAATTGAGATATGTTCAATGCACAGCCATTACACACAAAAAGCTCTGATAACAAAGCTTTCATTTTATAAGGCTTTCAGTTTGGAATTGTTGCAATAGTTCATCTCTGTGCTTCCTAAGAGCAACCTACTACCCTCTGCCAGTAAGATTGGTATATCCCAACAGTGGGAAAATAGCCTTACCTGCATACAGAAAATACTCTATTGTTCCCAGTATAAGAATAGTTTATTTGAACCCTACTGTTCTGTCTCACCTTTCTTCTTTCCAAAAGATGAAAGAGTACAAACTCACACAAACACAGGCAGGCAAGCTGGCTCGGACTTCACAGAGTTAATTCTTTGGAACTGATAACGTCCTTGGCATTCCAACACGCTCTGCCTGCCAAGTCCGAACTGATAACAAGTAAAAAGCTACTTATAGAAAGTTACAAGGCAGACCACAAAAATCATTCACAAAGAAAACCTGAAGTAAGATTAAACTTTGTCCCATACAAAGTTCCAGCCGACAACACACCCACTTTTATCCCCTGTGGGGTGTGGCTCAATGACTCAGCTCACTCTCTGACCCTCCCACATCTCCTACGTTGCTGCTCACGTTTCTCCCTACGACGCTGCCTGGGATCAAGCCAACATTCTTCCTCTTGACTCCCTGTCAGGGGCTGCTCCGATATGCCTTCCTCCTGATTAATCTCAGGCTGTTCCTCTCGGTTGTCTGATGAAACCTGAGGCATTATCAGGGAGAAAGGCATTGCCAGAGAGGAAGCTCCTGGGGAGGAAGGCATTCCCAGTTCCTCCTCCTCATCTTCCAAGGCCTCTTCCTCTGACAGCACAGGCTCGGGAATCGGAGCCACAACACCTACCTCTTTATGATTATTTCTAGATTTGTCCTTCCCAGACAGGTGAGTGTAAATATAGTATAAAATAATTGGCAAAGGAACAGAGCAAGAGTTGGGTAATCACCTTTATGAATCTTGAAATGAAAAACTGCTTTGTCATGAACAAAACACTTAGAGCAGAAATGAAAAGAATGGGCATTGTTTGAAACCTATTATTTAAAAATTTCTAATTTTAAAGGTTAATTAGTGTAATTTACCCATCTTGAGTTATTGAAAAGGTCCGTACATGAACCACAAACATCAGTGTTCAGGCTGTATCACTTTTTTCCCCTGCTGATTCATCCACATCTGTTTTTTTCTTTTTATGACTACCTAATTGAGGCACAGTTTTCTGTCCAATACAGATGGTCTACTATTGATAACTGTTTGCATGCTGCTTATACTATTATTGTACTGAGGTTTATTCAGTGGCAAATAAAGAGGAACATAATAATGGCATGCACGATTAAAATAAATTTGTGAAGAAAGTCCACAATAAAGGGAAGTAAATAATTTATCAATATAGGTGACTGATAATTGTCATTTATAGCTTCATTCCAAAATAAAATTTCATTATTATGGAATCTTACACTACAACAAGTTTAAATCAGCTATTATAAACTAATCTTTCCTATAAAATTAGTTTATAACAGTAAAATAACCCTTACCTGGCATCAAGTGGTCATCCAGATTTTTGCAGCTCTCCTTTTATTCCTGTTTTAGATTTGGGTTTATTTAAGGGCCCCTCATCTACTGTCTCCCATCATCATTATTTTATCCTGCGATAATTCATCTATCAGAGGAGCCCCTTACAACTTACATTGCTGCTTTATCCCAAATCATCTTTTAGAGTTTCAAGAATGTATTATACCCCAAGTACAGGAACTGGCTATGTCTAGTCTAATGAAAAGAAGGACTAGGGGAGACATAGCAGTGTTCCAATATCTCAGGGGCTGCCACAAAGAAGAGGGAGTCAAGCTATTCTCCAAAGCACTTGAAGGCAGGACAAGAAGCAGTGGATGGAAACTAATCAAGGAGATAAGCAATTTTGAATTAAGGAGAAATTTCCTGACAGTGAGAACAATTAATCAGTGAAACAACTTGCCTCCAGAAATTGTGAATGTTCCAACACTGGAAGTTTTTAAGAAGATGTTGAATAATCATTTGTCTGAAGTGGTGTAGGGTTTTCTGCCTAGGCAGAGGGTTGGACTAGAAGACTTCCAAGGTTCCTTCCAACTCTGTTATTCTATTCTATGTTGTGGTTTTTAATTTTATTTGCATCCCTACTGAAAGATATGATTTCTCTTGAGCCTTAGAAGACTAAAAAAATTGACTACGTTTTAAATATATTTAATCATTGTTTGCATTCTATGGCAAAATATATCTGATTGTCTAAATGTGGTTGTACTAAATACAGGGGTTTGATTTCACAGGGAAGAAATACAAGCAATTGTTCTATTAGAGCATGGGTGTCAAACTCACGGCATCACATTGCCACCACCTGATGTTTCGTGATATTTTCCTCATTTGCTGACCTGGGATGGGCATGGCCTATGCATGATGCATCCAGCTCACGAGCCGCCAGTTTGACACCTGTTGAGGTAATTTCCCATTAGGAAAATGAGTGCACACAGGGAAACGTAGTGAGAGTGATGTTGAATAACACACAACCAGCACACAGATACACTGAATAGTAAAATGTAGGTTTTGCTTCCAGTAAACGGTTAAGCAAAGTCCAACAAACAATCCAAGTCATGCACAGTTAAAGCAGTCAGTATTTCAGTCCGGGGATAATCCAAATAACAAAGTCCAGTATCATAAACAGTTCAGTAAATAGACTCACAGTAATCCAAGAAGAACGACAATCAGCAAAAGTCAATAGGGAAAATGCAGGGACCAAAAACATCAAACAACTGAACATCTAGCAACTAGCAACTAACAACAACAGAACTAACAACCCAGGTTTCTGGCTCCATCTTATGGCCATTTGAGGAACCACACCCAATTACAATTTTTGCATTCCCTTAAAGAGACAGTATTAAATGCCTATCCTGGTTTATATATTTCCAACCCAACTGTTAAGTGATTATCAATTCCTAACATTCTCCCCTTTGGGTAGGACAATATATAACACCTTACAGTTTAAGTCCGTATCCTTCACAGCAAGCCTTATGCTTTACAGAGCCTTGGGCTTTTGTAAAATGATCTGCAATGTTATTCTCTGACATGCAGTACTCCAGTTTAATCACTTTACCTTGTACACATTGTCTCACATTTAAATATCTTAAATCTGTGTTTTTCGTCTTGTCTTTATAGCAAGTTTTGAAGCCATCTGTACTGCTGATTGGTTGTCTTCATAAACAACAATAGAATCTGTTACATCAATTCCCATATCAATCAATAGTTGCTTATAACAAACTAATTTAGTACATAATAAGCAAACAGATTTAGTACATAATAAAGACAAACATGAGAATTCAGCCTCCATTGTTGATAGACTTAGATGTTTCTGTCGAATAGACCTCCATCCAATCAACACCTTTCCCAATAATACTACAATACCTGACATAGATTTACATGTATTTATGTCTGTAGCGAAACTTGCATCAGCATATGCAGTTAAACTTAGTTCATCCTTAGGCTCCAAATATAATGCATAATGCATTGTTTGTTTCAGATATCTTAACACA